TATAAAGTGTTTTAATTCTCGAAGAAAAATTTAAGGAACCTGAGGACCACCAGTAGGCGCAATCAATAGCTTAGCCTTTCGAGCATCAAATTGAGTAAGAATCCATCATCTTATTCTCTGTTATAGAATTGAAATCTAATTAACAATAAATACAGTATTTTGTACAATTTAGAAAATATTCATAATTAATTACGGATTGCTAATGGAGCCATAACCGAAAATTATTTACTGTTGTTCCATTGATTGTTTTTACAGTTTAAATATATGATAGTGCTTTATTGATTGATTTTATCGTTTTGAATGCATATGTTGTTGTTTTATGTGTTTACGGTTGAATTAAAAAAATGGAGGTTAAAGGTAAACGAAAAATTTTTGTGATTAAGTGAATGGATGAAACGACAGTCTCATTAGATATCCTCGGAGATGGTGGACGGAACGTGTATATAGAAAATTCTACCGTGAACGTTGTCTCATACCGGATGGAGTATCAAGACTTGGTAATTTGGCGCTCATAACGGACGGGGTATAGGAACGACTCGCTTCACCCTCATACCGGACGGGACATTGAGATTTAGTAATTTAGCGCTCATACCGGACAGGATATGAGGATGGCCCGAAATTGAGAATGTATAAAGAAAGAGTTCATGCGTAGTGGAGATATCCCTATGGACCCCCATGAATACCAGTAGGCTGGTGAAAAAATGGCAGTTGTTGGTTTAATGATTTGAATATGGAAGTATAATGTGTGTTATGTTGCCGACTATATATAAAATCATGATATGTATAATGTTATTGTTTCTATAGATTATTTTTATTATTGATAAATAAATTTACTTAATTAAGTGTTCTATTAATTATTTTAATTTTCTATCAATCTTATTTTCTGTGTCAGTGAGTTGGGGTAATATTCTTACTAGATTAGTGTAAATCATTCCTTATTTAATTACTTCAATTTAAAAGGACCAGAATCCAGAACCCGATCCACAAGAGAGTTACGAGTAGAATACTAGTTTTATTTACTTTCCGCTTATTTTTTTTTTTTTGTACTTCTTTCAAAAAGATCATTCCTGTAACACTATTCGGTATTTTAAGTTATTGTGTAAATAATATAAATCTTAATTTTTTATTACACTTCCGCACTTAAATTATTATTTAATTTTTTTAAATATTTTCGAAATAGTTACAATTAATATGACTATGAATAGGTTAATACTTTTTGTTAAAACTATTATTAATTAATTGTTCATCAAGATATATATATATATATATATATATATAATATATATAATGGAGAAAAGTTAGTACTAGGCTATAAGCTAGATTAACTAGAAAATAACCCAAATTAAATACCCTAATAATCTAAATATAGTCTGTTTTTAAGTTTATAATTAAAGAATATAACTGTACGTTTTCTTTAAGTAAAGTAGGATCAATTAAGGTTTAAATGAAACTTTATTTGAGAATTAATTATAATAAAGACTGTAAAGAAAAGTATAAACCTCACTCTTGTTTAGTTAGACAAAGTAAAGTATATTATATACAAATTTGGTCAGTAAAATAAAACTAAACTTATAAAAAATAAAATAAAATAGTTGTGAAGCTGCTGCATACATGGTAGGATATTTTAAAAATATATATATAGCTTTTATAATATTAATAAAATAATCCTAACCCCTTAAAGGAATTAAAGGTAAATTAACAAGTAATCTGCCTTATTAACCAACCGGTATCCATACGTGGGAAAGAAGCACTAACAATCAAGAATATGACATATTAAGGGTATCGTACTTGTAGAATTTGTCAGAAACTTAGAACTCAGCTGTAACTATTTTAATTAGCCAAAAGTATGAGATTTAATTTAACTACAACTAACAGTCGAGATATGACGCTTCTTTTTAGTATGGATAAGTGCCGTTCGGGGCACTTGTTCAAAAGCTTTGGGCCTTGATTTAGAGTCCAATGCTCAATGGTCTAAAGAAGACAAACCAAAGGAGACTGAAAAACGAGAAAATATAAGAATGCTGCTTATGGGACAAATGGACTTATGATTAGCCCCTACAAGCACGAATAGTCTTCATACAACTTAAATAGTTCCAAACAAACCAATGGCAATAACACAGGATTGATTATCCACAGACAAGTTTGCTATCTTATTTTCATTAATGGTATGATAAAAATTCAGATGACTTTCTAAAACTATTAATTTAAATAAAATATTACATTAGCTTATATCCATTATATCAAATTTCTCTAAAAAAACAACAATCCGCTATTCCATGAAAGATGTTGGTACTATCAACTAATCATAATAAAGAAGTTTATTTTGTGGAATTCTCACTTTCCGATAATATCTCCTTTCATTCAAAACTAAATATGCATGAACTTTCCTAATTAAGTCATGCCATAAAAATAAGAGTTAGAAAGTGAGGTAACTGGATTATGGAGATTGGTCATACCAGGCTGAAGTTCTGAAGCTCTTGGCTGCAGTTTAACTTGGAACCTTCAATCCAGAACTCATGCAGTCAACTTAATCACATGACATGACATTTCTTATTGCCAAGAAGAAAAACGCACTACATAAGCTGCATCTTCAAGATTAAGAAAAAGAAATCACCGTGCAGAATAACTGCCACATGCAAATTTAAGGTTGTTGAGGCAAAACATTTTGCATGTCTAAACATGCAAACAATGTTTATGAATTTTGGGATCACAGTATCAAACCATGACATCCTCTGAAGCACGCGGTAGTAAATTTCCTTCTGCACTATAAGTTAGGAAGTAACATTAACCAGTTTGGAAAAAAAAGAAAAGCATGTAAAATCTCTTAAGTGTATAAAATCAAAGAAAATGAGAGGATGATACAGCAGAATCCTGGAAATTTAATCATAGAAGCGAGACAGTATCTTCCACCAATCAATAATCTTGTCCATAATGGAGGAGCTGAAATACTTTTCTCCACAGTTTACAACATACAGAACACAGATTACAGCTTAATGCTAGAAGGTCATTGAGAAGTATGAAATGCTAAGAAAATCCTCAAATTGATGGAACCAGTAATAGTTATTTGGAATAAAGATAATGAAGAATGCATTTGAGAATATTTCCAAGATTGCCAGTGACAAAAAAGACATGCCAAATTGTCGCGGAGTGGTCAAAAAGTTTTTTATAAGTATATCATAGATTTAGATTATTGTCCTAAAACGTCAGCTATATGCAGAGAACCTAGTCAAGAACAACCATGAAAGATGAGGAATTATAGTCAAAGGAGGCCCTATGTGCTTGCGTGAGAATGCATCCCTCAACCATCTTCTTCTTCGTCTCCTAGAGGCTTGAAGGTTATGGAGTTCAAGCATTGTGTTTCTTAATGTGTCTTGGGTAGTTGATCCTTTGTTGACGGATGAGATTTGGGCCTAGAATTGCAAGACCGAAAAGAAGCTTATTTCGGTCTTCCATTTAAGTGATTTGATAAGAGAGAAAACAAGAGGATGATGCACAATAAGATCTTAACTTAGAATACTATTATCTTAAACTTGTTTAGTTTATTTAGGTAAATTTTGAATCTTATTGTGATTTAAAAACTTCTTGTAGCATATCCTTCCTCTTGAAAAGGAATAGAACTTTCTTTCTTAATGAAAAAAGGGAAGAACCCCAAGTCATTGCCTTTTGCTCAGCACTTCCTTTCACCAATTAGAGACCTTCAACTGGTTACTCCAGTAATTCTAATGTTCCAACTCATAAGATTGCCGCTAGATCAATGAAAAACGACATTCTCAATCACATCAACGATCACTAGCCCCAAATTTAAAAATATTGCTTCTAGAAGAAGCCATACTAGAAGCTCAAGCTCTAATCGCCACCAAGAGTTGGAGACATCGACGTACCAGACACCTTTGACTTATTTTTCAGGAATTTAAGCTATGAATTAACCAATTTGCTTCATTAGATGCCTTTGTTCTAACAAACTGGTTCAAACATGGTGCCTAAGGTTTTCCGGCAGGTTTTTATTGTTCTTTTTAGGTTTTTGGTCATATTTGCACCAAATACACATCTTCAAAGCATATTAACTACCAGAGCAATTAAGAATGTTCAAAGGTGATAGCTTTAACATGGAGCCCAATAATTCAACACGTAGTTACCCAATTAGAAAGTATATATTAGATCAAGCTTTTGGCTATATAGATGCATACAGAACATTCAAATACTTCCATCTAATCAAGTTCCACTTCAGTTTCAATGTCTTAAAATTGATATCTATGCCAAAAGCTTTCCAATGGTCACTGCATTTATGAGAATTGTTATCAGCTGGAGATTGAGTATGGTCCAAGTTTAAACTCAAATAAAAAATTTTGCAGATACCGTACAAACTTCTTAACTCGAGCTTAAAGCTTTGCCAATAGTATGTTTGAAGAAGTGAAGATTGAAGTTTCTCCTCCTTTAAGACATATAGGTATTTACAGAGATTGCACACTGACAATAGGAAAACTAAGTAATTGGAAAAATAGCTATATAAGAAAGACCCACACTAGAAAATAACTGTGCAAAATAGATAATATATTGTAACACACCTCTCACATTTGGAGCATATATGTCATATATATCAAAGTTTGCTACAAACAAAATTTACACAAGCTAAGAATATGCAAACATATCAACTAGTTGGTCTCCTAACTGCCCGTAAGTAGTCTAAATCGCATCCTGTCAAAGTTTTTCTTAAATAAAATGATAATTAGGCTCCATGTGTTTAAACCAGATTGGAAGCAATATGTATTGCAACTTCGCCAACACATAATAAATCCATTGATTGTGATTGTAGAAAATCAAGCTCATGAGATAGATGTTTCAACCAAATTAACTCACAAGTGATAGGAGTCAGAGTTTGATATTCTGACTCAACAGCAGATCTGGTAACCACAGTTTGCTTCTTGCTCTCCGAATACACTGTGTCACCATCCACAAAAATATAGTAACCTACCATTGATAAATGATAAAAAAGAAAAAACTAAACCAACCCAATCAGAATCTTATATATTTGGATTTAAAGTATGTACATAACTCTAACAGAGCAATCCACGACGTAATACACCTTTGAGACATCACAAGATACATAAAATGGCCTCCCAATGATTTCAGATAACTATCCCATCTGCCTACAGCTGAACAGGTTAGCTAGGCCCCATCCTTTTCCAGTTTGAAATTAGATAAGTTAAAGATGGAAGACTTTCTAGACCTAATTCTCTTGTGATGAGGTGAGTCGTCGTTGGAGAATTTAGCTAGTCTTCAAATCTCTAAGAAACTAGCCAATATATAAGAAACTAGCCCGTGTGAAATTACGGCTCAGCAAGGAAACTCTTAACTTCAACTTGAGGCTGCCCCATCATATCCCCATCCAAACATAAATAAATAAAATCAGTCATGATCGTAATTTTTTTTAATAAAAGAGAGCAACAAATTGAACAGTTAAGATAAATGAAGACAAGGGAAAACTGAAGGCCTTGGACGAGAGCCAGTAAAGGACAGAGCCAAAGGAGGTGGAGGGATGGCAGAGCTTGGAGGAGGCAAGGAAACATGGCCAACAGCAGACAACCTGTGTGGGAGCAATGCACATGATTTGTAATGGAGTTGTCTGCCCCTGTTTATAGAACCTAGCACCTACTGCCACCATCAACTGACAATGATACAAGCATTAGTGACTCCATGTATTTACCATCAAAATCTCTTCAATAGAAGAGATGAATGTTCATTTATAAGGTGGCCGAATTATAGGTAGTTGGAAGTTGCTGTACCACGTTCGAGTTATCATAAACAACCTCACTTTTTATTAGAATACAACTTAGGTGGAAAAAACATTCATACAATAGATAAACATTTACCCAGTCATGGTGGAGTTAGAAAACCAAATTAACAATCGGTCATACAGAAAGACTGAAGAATAGAAACTAAAATAAAATAAAATAAAATGGTGATAAGCATAGAGTGGACAAAGAAAATTCCTGATTAGGGCCTATATGAAAGTGTCCTAGTTGGGTGAATATGTATATTTGACATTCTCAAAACTAAAACTTACAAAAGACAAAAGATTAATGATTACAAACCATAACTAAGGGGGGGATAACTAAAAACATCCAAAAAGTAATAGGAAATCCTAATCTCTAAAAGTAAAATAAAGATCTCTTTTTCAAATCTGATTTCTGACAAAAGACTCCATTCAGATCTAGTTTATCCATTTCCAACAACCACACAAAAGAAAGGAAATTGGCAAAGAAGAAAACTCAAACCAAATAAAAATGAAGGGACATGATGCAGAAGAGAATTAATACCCATTTTATCAATGAAATAAGATTCTAAACAGAAACACTTCTAAGTAGCAGAAAGAAACTCATGCCCACATGATACTTCATGATTTACTCATTTTCCGAAAACTCAAACCATTCATACAACTCACTATTAATTACAAAAGAAAGTCTGACGATACCAAAACCTAAATGTGCTAGACCTAAAATTGTGGAAAATGAAGAAGAACTTATCCTACTAAATGTTGCTAGCTAGGAAGTTAAATGAGTTACTTGGCAGAAACATGCACAAGAGACTACGTGAATTTCTTGTAGTTTATCTAACTCAAGCAGGGTTGGTTGGTTTATCAAATTTTTGTGCAGAGAAACTAATTACAATGCATGACAAGTACATGAAACTCAAGATTTATTCTGGGAAAAACAACAAATAAGAGAAAATCAGTTATTTAAAGCTCAACCAACCACAAAATGATTCAAATAAACCAACTTAATATAAAATCAGGAAAGCAAGATTAAAACACACTAAACAAGCGAAACTCAATCCTGCAACATAACTCTCGCCAATCCATCATGAGGTTATGATGTCCAATCAACTGAGCCAGAATTGATGAGCCAAGGGACATTACCATACAATGCCATTAAAAAATTAACATGCCTCACACTCCTAAGATTCAAACCCCAATTCTAGTCTACGCCAGACCTAACCTAATGTACATATTGCATCATACTTTGAATTTCAAATTCTCACTTTCTACAAACTTGGGGAAAAAAATCATTAACCCCAGAAAATGCAGAAAGTCTCTTGTAAGAATATATGTAAGACCCGTGCATCCTAATCAAGATCTTTGTCAAGCAAAGGAAAGACATGCTAACTAGACCTAGTACTCACATGACATAGAAGACAAGCTTAGCAATGAAACTGAACTAAAAGTTCGACAAAACAGAGATTAAACTACCTCAAAAGGACGAAACATCACAAAGCTTTTAAAAGAAATAGATAGATGTACATGCCCTCATTTGAAAACGGAATGTCAAGTCAGCCCCAAATTTTAATATTTGACACCTATACAGTCCAGCTTTCACTTCACGAATCAGTTGCTGCTCGAAAATACCTAGGTTTTGAAAGAATAAATTGAAGTCAGCCTACGGCTTATATGTCAGGTTACAACCGAAGTATAAGTATGACCTATGAAAAGAATAAAAGCAAATATCATTGCTGCATTGAACCGTGGAGGATTGAAGGACCCAAATAGATTTCGGCCAAAAACATACATTACAAAGCAAGCACTATTGAATCCTAAAACTCGTGTCAAAGTGAACAAACCACATCTGGTAATGAAATAAGAAAAAAAGATCAAAAGAGGGAAATGCAAACTTCAAGCAAGCTGACAGACACTATCAAACCGTGGACGATTAAAACCATGATAATAACAACTGCTACAGCAACAATAATAATAAAGGAAAATTCCAAGAAACATATTCAAAGGGACATGAATGCTCGGAGATATGATTTTACCTGCTTGTAGAAAACCGAGACTCAAGCTGCAGTTCTGGTGAGGACCGAGACGCACGAATGCGAAGGACAAAAGATCAGAAAGGTAGACATGGCGCGCCTGAGCTCCCGCCGGTTGAATACAAAAAGATGGAGATGTTGGAGTCGAAGATGAAATGAAGATTCAAAAGATAATAGCATCATAAACCAAGAAGGATAGGAGAGGGAAAATTTGCAGTAGTTTGTAGGAGTTAATTCAATTTCCATGTAATGTTCGCTCGAATAATTTACTCAACTCATGTAGTAAGCGTGCAAAGAAGAATAATTTTCGCTCGAGACTGTTGGCGGCAGCTATTGTTAACTGGTTGGGCTTTCGTTGGGCATGGGCTTGGGCTTGGGCTCGGGCTTGGGCTCGGGCATCTTTAATTAAATGATATGGGTTGAGGAATTAAGATAGATTAAAACTCTTATAACTATATAGTTTCTTAAATTATTAAATTATTTATTATAGACTACCCCATATATGAAAATCCAAATAAATTCCATAAAAATTCCAAAAATATTACTGCTGATATCCTCTTTTTGGATGAAAGGGATATCATAATTTTTAAAAAATTTTATTTTTAAAAAAATAATTAGAAGCATGTATGTTGTACCCACAGTGGTCTGCATGGTATAAAGATATATATATATATATATATATATATATATGGAAATTGTCATTAAAGTGGCGTACAAAAAGAAATGTGAAGAGGCGTCAGTAAAGTTGGCATTTTTTATAAATTAAAATAGCTAATTTTTTTTTTTTCTCTTTTTATTATCTTTACTTTATAATTTTGCAAATTCGCTTCTTCTATTCTTTTATCTTCATTAAATTTTGTTTTTAATAAATCACTTTAAATTTTAAGTTGATAATATTTCAAAACAATAACTCAGTTCTTTATATAATATATTAAAAATATAGATATAATATGCAAAAAGTAGTTTGTGGGAAATTATAAATTTTGGGAAAAAAAAAAAAAAAAAAAAGTAAAATGTTTTATTTTGGGGTCCAATACACGGCTGTTGAGAGCAAAGCATTTGTACACAAAAAGAGTTGCTCTTTTAAAGCATCTTTTACCGGATGATCCGTATCCACTTTTGAAGACCCATCACCAACGCACGCTGCTTTATTATTATTATTTTTTTTTCCTCTTGCACACATTACAAATTATGTATAATAATGAAAAATCTTCATCGAACATCACACGTTCGGCTTGTAGTCACGTGCCACAGCAGCAGCATCACACGAGAAAAGACAATGGGTGAAACGGAGGAGTATCTATAGTGGCAAGAGAACTAGGGTTAGGGTTTAAAAATTTACAATTTAAAAGGAAAGGGTATGATTGCAGAACGACAAAGATATCCTAAGAAATGTGTCTATATACCTACTTTTCAATATCATGACTCTATGAGGACTTTAAAAAATAGATGCTTCTTTTAATTACTTTCGCTTTCCCATCACAGAGTTTCTGTGTTTTATGCGTTAATATCCCCATGAAAATGCATAAACAACAACCGAGAAAAGCAAAGGCCCTGTAGTCAAACTTTATCTGAGAACTTTACTTGTATGGGTATGTTGTACAAGAGACAAGTAAAGCCAATAAAGCAGATGGGTTTTTGGGCAAAAGTGTTTTTTATTGTTTTTTTTTTTTTATCTACCAGTCAAGCCTCTTGTTTTCTTTATTTGTGCGTGTGTGTGGAAGAAGCAAAAAGAGGTTGGAACTAGTAAAAGAAAAAAGAACACAGGAGATGGATCCAAGGATAGTTTTCAAGATGTTGATCGGATATACTTAAAGTAGGAAAAGGCAAAGGTTTCTGGCCTTCTGGAGAAGAGTATAGAAGCATTGATGGAAACCTTTCAATTTTACATTTTTACTCACTTCTCTTATATTTCGCTTTCATTCAATAACTCACTCTCTATTCTCCTTCTATTATTATTTTCAAAAAACCCCAGATTTATTTTTGTTTCTTCCACTGCGTGACTGACAGACAGTTCATAGAAACGAGAAAGATAGAAAATTAATAATAGCATCCATTAAGAAAGGATACATGATAACCTTCTTTTTTTCTAAATCATAAGCATGCTTTCTTTTTTCTTGGCAATAATAATAATCATAATTACACTGCTAATTGGATTTTGAACGTATTATCATTTGGTGTCAGCTGCTCTTTCTTTTTTTTTTTATCGGTTTCTGAATTTAAATGCTTCCAGTTTTTATTCTTTTTCTCTCTTCTCAAAGAAAGAAGCCAGGGTTGTACGTATCACCCATTAATGAGACTAATCAGAGAGAGGCCTAGAGAAATTGTCCATGGATATCAACTAGCCCTGAACCTTCTCAGCCTTTTCTTCACTACCCAGAACTGAAAGGAAAGTCATCATCAACATGCTCCCTCTCCCTCTCCCTCCTTTGTCTTGCTTGCATTTATGTGAGTGAAACAAAGATACATATTCAATAACAAATTAAAAATTACGAGAGAAAAAGAGAGAGAGAGAGATCTGCTTCCATCCAAGAGCTAGGAAGCACTAAACTGCACCAATTAAATTGAAGAAACAGGAAAGAGATGATTGATGTTTGGTGATTCTGAACTGGCTAGCTTCAATTTTTTCGATGATCATTCATACTTCTTACCAAAAGCCACCTGCATTCATGGCTGGGCAGGGAATAGAAGACAATGATACCGGCAGCACTAAAGTTATATACACAGCTACAAACATTCAGACGCACGCACTCACATATTTCATCAACAATATTATCATCAAGACTCTCTAAGGAAGAACAAGGAATCAAAAAAGAAAAATAAAAAATGGAAACAGAAAATTAACTAGAAGAAAAAGAAGTAAGAAGCTAAAGATATAATATGAATGGTTATGATGAGGAAATATTTAAACTAACATGTTGAAGGAGGCATGAGATTCAACCCTAGGTCATGATCCTTTTCTGATATCAACCGAGCCTTGTTAGTCTCCGCAGTAGCCTGAGCAGTACCATATTCTGGGTGCACTCTCTTCTTGGATTGCAGAGGAACGCCGAAGAGCTTGGTTTTGCAGTTAGGCTCTTCAAGAATCGTCACAGTGCTCTGTGATGTGTTGCTTGGAGAGTTCAAGACCTGAACTTGAGCAGATGTTTGCTTATTACTGTTAGTAGGATAATACCCAAGAAGATGGTTCATGGGCTTCTGCACCAGGGAACCGTTAACAATGGAAGCAGGCGTGGAGGACGGCGGGTTACAAAGAAGCAAAGAGGAGGGGTAAGAATTGCTAGGAGCAACTGGCTTGACATGGTTCTGAACAAAGTAGATGATATCATTATAAAGCTTTTTCATATGTGCAAGCTCCGACATGAGCATGTTGTTGCTTCTCCTCAATCTCTCGTTATCCTCCGTCAAAGCGGTGAAGGAAGTGTTGTAGCTGCCGGCGAGACCACCGACGGTACGTCCTGTTGGAGAAGAGAGGGGTGGGGAGTCGCACCAGTTGGGTTGGTCGTCGGAGTCGGAGGGAGAGATGCTAACTCGGCTGGGGAAAGGGAAGAAAGTTGGGCCATTGACATGAGGGAGTGGAGAAGAATGGGGATGGTGATGGTGGTGGTGGTGATTTATGGCTACCTGCGGCTGTGCTGTTTTCCTTCGGTGGATCTCACACAACAAATGCTTCTCTCCCTTCTTGAAGAACTCGTTTGCAAACTCCCATCTGTCAGGTACAATCTTCCTAAAACCCTAGTTCCATCAACCACCCAAAAACACAAAACCCAAATCAGTAAAGCCATAGAATTAATATATAGCATAGAAGAAATGTAGGTAGGTGGGTATATATAATATACATAGGTGTTAAGCTGACGAACAAAGCTGGAGAAGTTGTTGTGCTTGAAGTAGTTGGGTAGGAGGTCACGAGCGAACTCAGGAGGACGCCAGACGACGAAGGTGGTGTCGTCTTCACCCCAAGAGACTATATGATCAGTAGATGGATCATCTACCAGCTGATAGGTTTTGGTGAGGAAAGGTGCTGGCACAGATTTGTGTGAATCAAGTGAGAGTAATATGCCCTCACAGTTATCTAACATGAGAGCAGCCATTAATCAAACCTACCAAATTCCTCTTCCTTCTTTTCCTTTTTCCCCGTTGGTTTCTGAATGAAAGGTGAATGTGAAAATGTGAATACTGAACCGGATGGAGATGGATAAAAACGTTCTAGTTGGAGAGAGAGGGAGTGGATGTGTGTATAATTTTTTTTTTTTTTGAAAGTAAAATAAATATAAAACTAAGAAAAGGGTAAATGTAAATATAATGTATAGAAGCGTATATATATATATATCTATATAGATATAATATATTTGTTTCCGACCTCGGTTATGTAGTGAGAGAGAATATGTGTCTGTGTGTCTAGAAGTGTGAAATGAGAAGCTTTGGGGTTTCAAGACAAACCCGTGACTCTGACAATCATCCCGCGCACACCCACTTAAAATCAGGATGGAAATTGACAAATATGCCACGCTTCCTTCTTTCTTCTTCCTTCTTCCTTCTTCCTTCTTCCTTCTTCCTTCTTCCTTCTTTCCTTTATTACTTATTAGTCAACCCTCCTTTCCTATGTCAACAAACTTTCTTTTTTTCTTCTTTCTTTTCCCCTTTCTCATTTTCATCACCTCTCTACTATTATATATCTACATATATTTATACTCCTATACATGTATACATTTTCACCTTTCAAATAAACCTTAAAATTGACCCCTTTTCTTTTTTCTAAACAAAAAAATTAAATTTAACTTTAAATTATTGTTGTAATCATTAGAACCCTCGTAATCATATTGTTTTTTTTATTTAAATACATTATTATTTACTAAAAAATTTAATTTAATTACTATAATCTCAGTAACGCAATAATAAATTAGAATCTAAATTTTTTTAAATCAAATATTATGTATCAATTATAATATATATAAAAAATTATAATTTCTAAGTTTTTAATAGATTTTGAACTTGTTATCTTTAAACAAAATATAAAAATTTTATATTTTTTCATGCAAACTCTTTTTCTCCCTACATCTTTAACATTCAAGTTCAAGATGTACCTAACAATGTATATTATAATAGGATAATATTAAAGTATATAGCTAGAAAGTGGATGGGCGTAGTAGTAAAAATACACTTTAAAATGTTATGAATAAAAAGGAAATTTTATTTGCAAATTTGTAGTCTTGTATTTATTGTCTAACATCACTTGATTTTCTACACAAACAATGTATGTATGTATGTATGTATGTATGTATGTATGTATGTATATATGTGTATATATATATATATAAGTTAAAAGATGCATCGAACTACGTGATGTGATTTAAAGCCTGTTGTTTCGTGACGACATTTCTTCTTCTTCTTCTTCTTCTTCTTCTTCTTCTTCTTCTTCTTCTTCTCCTTCTTGATCTCCTCTTCCATTTTCTTCTCTCATAATATATATTCCAAACATCAACACATGCTCTCTGCTCATTACAAAACCTTTATCCACTAAATTACAATTCTATATATATATATATATATACATATACATATAGAGAGTGTTAGTACCTTTCTTTTAGCTTGCTCTCAGCCTATATTTTTGGCTCTTGTTTTTCTCGGCTCGGCTTCTTGCGCTGACGTGTCTCAGGTGACTGAATTATTGGCCCCAAAAGTTGCTTCCATCAATAACTCTTTCCTTCTTTCTTTCCCATTTTTCGTTTTTAAAAGAACAACTTTGCCTTTCTTTCTTGGAATCACCCGAGAAAAACTATTTGTTTTTCAAGAACGCAACACAACACAAACTATATACATAGAGTCTCCCTCCTTACTTTCTCAGGGTATTTTTCCTCACTAAATTATTATTATATTCGAAAATAATATATGGGTATATTGTAGAAAGTGAAAAAAAAAAAAAAACAACAACATATAATATTACAATTGGGTGTTATTAATTTCAATATAAGAGGGAACTATAAATGATAATAATGAGCTTAGGTTTCCATGAGTGGGTATTGGGGGGGAAATCCCTATAATTAAAAAGAAGTTTTATGTTGATTTACTGAAATGGGGGGCAACCAGTGACAGTAGAAGTAGGGACCCAAATCCAAAGGTGAAACAAATGGAGAAAATGATGACTAATTATTTCACTTTGATACTCAACTTATTATTTTCTGATCATTCTCATGATATATATTCTTAATTTAAACTGTCCCCATATACTATATCATATATATCTCACTATAATAATGACTTCATTCATTTACCCATTATTTTCCTTGATTTTTCCCATCTTAAAATCCAAATTCTTCCTAATAATAACCCATATATGTATGTATATGTATACATATATGTACACACACACCCCCACTTATCTCTAAAAAGAAAAAAAAAGAAAGAATCTTCCTAAACAAGCCAAATCTAACATGACAACAAAAATAATGAAAATAAGAATACCCAAGCCAAAATTTTTCCAGTTTTGCTAGGTTATTTTTATTTCATACAAAAGAAATTATTGGGCAACCGCTAATCGTGCATATTTGTATATATTGAATCTTGAATCTAACTAAATTGAAAAGATAAAAACCAAACTTAAATTTGTTTACAATTTCGTAAAATTTTCTTTCTGCAATATTAATATTATATTTTAACTCTTTGCATCTTGTCCAGAATTTATGTATTTTATTCTTAAAGATGGTTTGTGTTTCATGAATAATATTAATAAAAACTGTGCAGATCTATAGTTACAGAAATATATTCATATGGGTGATATATACAAACGGGAAGAAATCAAGTGACATTATGATTAAATCGCCCTTTACATAATTTCAACTTAGAGAGGGAGTAACTTTACTTTTGATAGTCACTGCAAATTTGCCTTTTCTTAATTTAACTTGTATATTGCAACGGCTCGTTTCTAGCACAGAGTTCTTATGTCATGAGTTAATTAACTACAAAAATAAAAAGGCCAAATTCCAAAGCAAAACCTTGCTTGTATACATACACGATGTAGCTTGTATATATCTAGTTAATTAATAAGCCAAAATAGATCAGTAGTCACATGTGTGTTGTTGGGTGATCAGAGAAAAGATCATCATCAAGAGAAAACAAAATTAAACATTTTAGTTTTAATTTTTGTAGCATGTGACATGATTATGATTTTTAAAACTTAGTATATAATAAAGTTTAAAAAACAATAAGAAGGGAATATTGTCAGTTTCAAGTCCCGATATTCAAGTGTAATTGGAAATGCCTTTGATGGGAAGGATAAATAGATCACTAATTGGCATCCTAATAGAGTAAACATTATGTATATGTATATATGGTTGTGGATTATCATCTTTGTATTCTCTGCTCTCTGCTTCTTCTAATTTCTTAATCCTCCACCAGCCTTGTGTACTGATCTGCAAACATTTCGCAGCGGCTGACAAGGAGACAGCAGTAGTTTCTCTTGTTTATTAATGTTTGATGGGTGTGTTGTGTGCATGTATGCCATTCTCGTGAGTCCTTTTTTGTTGTTTTCCCTCATAAATACCATTTATATATTTATTACTATGCACGTATTTTTTAGATATATATACACACACACACACATATATATATATTCGTGTATTTACATGCATGCATATAATTAATTTCAGCTGGGAATATCTGCCTGGTTAATAGCTCAACACACCCATCGTCTCTAGATGCTTCCCCATATATTTATGCTTATTCTCATCACCTTATCCTTTTTTATGGTTTTTGTAACTGACTATATATATATATATATATTATAATATGTGCTATTTGCTGATTAACCTAATTATGGGGATATAAATACTTATTAGATCTGGTGGGTCCTATGTCATTCATGATCAGGATCAGCAGTTTATCGGGTACTAATTATAGTGGTATATGGTTTTGATGGATGAACAGCTAATTAAGAACACAACAAGAAAGAAGAAAAAGAAAAAGAAAAGGAAAATGATGTACGTTAGAAAGGATATATATATATATATATATATATGCAGTGTGAGACAACTATGATAATATAGAGAGAGAGAAATTAGGGGGCCCACAAAGTATATGGAAATCTAAACCCCCATCTCTCTACAAGTTGTCAGCAACTTAGACAGATCCTACCGAGCCCACGAACATCCATCACTGCCAAAATCCACAAAACAAGACACTCCAGTACTCTACTCTATAGATATACATATACTTCACTATATACACACACATTTACTCTATGCATAAATACTTACTGTATTTACTCATATACAGGTTGATAAGAGCTGAGCTAAGAAGATTCTATTCTAACTTCTAAAACGCAGTGAAAGTGAACCCCACCCTCAATTCTCACATGACCACCGCCGATTCCTTTCAGAAAAGAAGAAAAGAAAACTGCTTGCTGCATGCTTATAATATATATATATATATATATATATATATGCAGATATATGTTCTTTTTTCTGGTAGGCTAGGAAGATGAGAAAAAAACGAGAATTCCAAGGAGAGACAACTTAAAAGACATACTAAAAGTGTATTATATGTAAATTAATTAATGTATAATTTAAGCCAAAAGAAAAAAAAAAAAAAAAAAAAAAAAGATGTTCAGTATAGTATAGGTGTGTGTGTGTGTGTGGGTGTGTATATATATCTATAGGTAGCTCCACGTCTCTGTATTTGTAATTCGAAAGCGAAAAGGAATCAAAATGAGTATTCAATTAAGACAAATGTACAAAGGTTCCTTCTTCTGTCTCTTGTTGCACTCTCTTTTGTCTCTTCCTCTGACCATTTCTTGCACGACGAACAACATACAGCCATCCTCAAGCCTTATTTAAAAATATATTTGTCTGTTTAACCTCATATCTTACAACTTTCATTTATTTATACACGCACAACAAATGGCACCCACCTCTCTCTCTTCTCTCTTTTGCTCACATATATAAATAATGAATTAGCTAGGGTTGAGAGAGAGAGAGAGATGTGTGGAAGGAAGAGGTGTTAGTCAAAAAGAAACATGTGCAGAGAGGGAGTGGGTGGATTTATATGTGAGAATTAAAGAAAATGATGAAGAGAGGTCACGAGGGAATGGAAATTAGATATAAATGAATGGAGACAAGATGATCATGTATGTCTATCGATTTTACCAATGAACTTGAGAAACCAAAGAAGAAAAAAAAAAAAAAAAAAAGTACCCTCGAAGCCTTACTAATTTGTCCTTTTTTATGTTATGTGATTGAAAT